GACCTGGTGGCTTGCAGTGTGGAAGCGGGCGTAGGATTTCGAAGGTGACACCTGCCAACCTGACATCCAAATCGCCAGAAATAGTCTGGTCTTGCAAGGGTACACCTCCTCTGCAACTTTGCTTGTACCTGATGTGCAAAAATCTTGTCAAGATCTACTTGGCTCCAGTTGCAATCTTTGCGACACGATCCCAGAACGGTGCCACTGCAGAGCATGACGAAACTGTGCCTCCTTCCGTGCTCAAAGACTACCTGCTAAGAGGCAGCCACATTGTCAGGTGGGATGGACGGGAAGAATCCTGAACTATCGTCTGGTATACCCAAAATTTCAAACCCTCCTTCATCCTACTTCTTAAGTCCCCTCTGAACGTGGGAGGCACCGGGGAGCTGTTCCTGCCTGGACCACTCCAGAGAGGGGGCGGCGCCATCGGCGCTAGCCTCAGCTTTCAGAACAACACGGTCTGGTTCAGGTGGTGTTTCCTGCTGCAGTGGTCATCATCTTTTCTGCATACAACTTGAGTTCTGATCACTATGCAGTTTTATTGCCAGTATCGTACAGTTATCGGTACAGTACTGTTACCGTATATCTGCTCCAGCAACCTGAATTCAGCACGCCAGGCCCTCCACCCTAAGTCCCGACAACCTGGCCTCTCGAGACTTTCGGAGAGCTGTAGCCGGCTGGAAAATGGATCCTAAACCCCAAACCCTAAAACAAAAACCCTAGACACTAAAAAAAAAAACAAACCCTAGAAGCAACTGTAAGCCCGAAGCCCTAAACCAACAGACTCAACTAAGTCTTCTGGCCCCTTTGGTCCCACCTGTGTTGATCCCTGAGGTTCGCCGGAAGACATCGCAAAAGACCCCATCCTCTGCAAACAGCACTGGTCGGGGCCTCGGCATGGCTATCGCTGTTCAGGGCTTTGGGTTTAAGGTTTGAGGGGTTCAGGGTTCAGGGTTTAGACTTATAGGCTTTAGGGTTTAGGCTTATAGGGTTCAGGGGTTTAGGGTTTAGGCTTAGGGTTTAGGGGTCTAGGGTTTAGGGCCTTCCCAAGATGGTTTTCTCTCACTGAGAAGGGCTGTGGGGGTTCGAGACCACTCAGGGGTTTGTACTCGGAGGACCAGGGAAGACTCAGCACTTGGGTTCCACCCTGGACCCGGCTTGACACTGTGACTCTACATGTCAGAGCCGGCATGAAGTGGCCTCTTTCGCCTACTTTAGTCCAGAACTTCCCCTCTGAAACCTCCCACCAGGTCCAAACAGGGTTCTAAGGAACTTCGACTTCCTTGGCAGAGCCTTCATGTGGGAGTTTCCGAAAATAAGGGGCGCCCTTATTTTGGGGTCCTTATGATAAGGATCCATCAGGTTACTATATTAGGGTCCTCTATTTTCGGAAACCCCCATGTGGCGGCTGCTCCATACGGTAGTCTGGACTGTTGGAAGAGTGTTGGATTGGAGGGGTTCTCCTCGAAGGAGTCTCGGTATGTTGAACATAGCACCAGAGCGTGTGGAGTAAACCTGTCTCTAACTACGACCCCTCCCCCTGGCTACCAGTCGAGGTTCATTTGTTGGAAACCCCTAAATTAAACGCTCGGCCCCAAACCCCTAAACCTTAAAGCCCTAAACTCTAAACCCCTAAACTCTTAACCCTTAACCCTAAACCAAACTCCTGCAAAAAACCGAACTCGGATCTTCGGCAGACACGCAGGCATCGAATGCGAAGGCAGCAGCAAGATGCTCTTAAGTCTGCCGGGGCCTAAGATTCTTCAAATTACTGTCATCAGAACAAGTTTATGTAAGTCAATTACAATTGGTTGAGGGTTTAGGGGTTTAGGGTTTAGGGAATTTAATAAGTATGCCTAAGGACCAATCCATGTCAGGTGTGCGATGGCAACAGAAGCATGAAACATGCCGCTTCCTTTGGTTATAGTAGTAGTAACCTTCACGGTGATAATAGGAAACACTGATGGCAGTGTTATTCTGCGATCTCCACGAGCATGTTCCGTTGTCGAAGCCTAAACGGAGGAGGCTGCAACGGTAACTTCAAAGGCTTGATGAAATGCCTGCACCTGCGACCGTTAAATTACATGACCATGGGCGGAATCTGATAGGAGCAGCAATAGTGCAGCTCCGTTCCAGAGTAGTCGCTGACTGATGAAGGACAGTTTGACGTCGCAGCCATTGCAATGGCAGCATCAATTTCAAGAGCACTGTATGACTTGTGATACTGACGACGAAGCAGTCATAGCACCAAAAGCTGGGAATTGTTGTGCAAGTATTCATGATAGGACTCTGATGTCGAATGTCTCACTTTGGCCAAGCGGAACGAACTTAGAACCTTGACACAATGCCGTGCATATCGCGGCCGAAGAGCGAACTCCCAATCGGTCATTGTAATCCTCACGAGTACTGGCATGTCTGTATTCTATGGCAAACCCCCTCAGATAGAAAAATGTCTCTGCAGAGAGCCTAGGCTTGAAGGTCACAAGGTTTGTTGCATGCGATGCTGAGATCGAAAATGCATCCCCTTCCGACTGCGGACCTCGCAAGATTCACTGGAAGTGGTGCGCCAGGGCTTGCCAGACCAGTGACTGGGGCAGTGTTTGAGTTGGGGCCTTGTCATGGAGCGACGGTTGCCCGATTCAGATTGGTTGATGGATCAAGGCGATGCCGAGCGCAGATGGGTTCGCGGCTCTCCCGTGTTTGCGAAACTAAGCTGTCGAGCCCAGCAGCTTCCGTTAAAGCAAGCTTCGGATTCTTTCAGAGCCTTCCCCGGCATCCGGATGCATGGTCCGTCTCATGACATCTTCTGACACCTGTAGACCCAAGCTTGTGTCTGGGCACCCGATGTTTTTAAGGTGTGGACCCTTGAATCACTGTGGCCCCAAGCGTGCAAACCCTTAAACCAAGCAACACCTCCGAGGTTGAGACCTGACTGTAAGAGTAACAACCAGCACAATAGCTATATGGGACTTTCCGAAAATTAGGGGTATCCTTATTTTGGGGTCCTTATAATAAGGATCCTAGTATGAAGGGTACTAGATTAGGGTCCTCCGAAAATAGTATGAACGAGATGAGAATTTCAGTATGGGAGTCATGCTTCAGTCAGACACAACTACTGCACGATGTTTTAACCCTGGCCGTTTAGGGTTTGGCGTTGCTGCTAGTGGCTACTAGGTACCGCGACCGACGCATCTCGATGAGGAAGAAGAAGCGCGTGATCTGACGGTCAGTCTCACCAGATACCATGCGAGGTGACTGCGGCTACGGGGTCAAGAGTCAGTGATTCGATACTGGCAGTAGATATTCATAGCGATGCAGCCCTAAAGCCTAAACCCTATAAAGCCCAAGCCCTATAAACCCTAAACCCTAAAAAGTACGTTGGGCATGTTGGGCGCAGTGGTCTCGCTGTCGGTGCCTCAGAGCAGCGAAGGGCAGCACAGATCGGCTCCAAACTCTCCGACCAGCATCCATGGGCTGCAGCCAAAAAGATGCTATATGATGCTACATAGTGACATAGTGCATAAAGACCCAATGAGTGAAACCCGCACTTGCTGGCGGTTTTACATGTGTAGAAGTCATCGGAATGACTGCATGACTTATTCAGCTATTATGCAAGACCAGCAGCTGGGCATTCATGTCAGAATGTCGCGTCGCGTGCCGCCGTCGCGACATCACTCTACGCCAGTGACGTAAACCTGACCACCACGGCGGCAACGGCGACAACGGTAAGTTCCTGATATGAGGGTCCATTTTTGGGCCCCCAAAATAGTACAGAATCCTTATAACATGGATGTAGAGAGCTACCCGTATTCATGAACAGCGACAGTAGTAGTAACCTCCAAATCTTAAGACGCTCCAAAGAGCCCGCTACCCCAAACCGCAGCCCACCACCGCACAAGACCCCCATGGATCCCTGGAAGATCCTGCAAAGCCCTGAGCAATAAGCAGTATAAGCAATCAATAACATGGTTCCGGGTTTAAGGTATAGGTTTTCAATAACCCTGAATAAACTAGCCTAAACCCTAAACACTAGACCTACCTCTGTCTACTTGTCTAACCCGCCTGGAGCCATTCGGTTCTATGTGGTTCAGGCGCTTTCGATGGGGAGAGACAACACGACCGGAGGCACGGCCTTTAGGACTTAGGGTTTAGGGTTTAGGTTGGGGTGGCTTGCTATTTCCATCTATTACCCATGGGGTCCATAGTAGTTCCTTTTTGGAATACCTTGTAGGGTCCTAAATATATACCACACAAAGGAACTACACTGGGGCCTATGGGTAGTTGCTACCCCAGGTGAGAATTGGGGTTACTATAGGTATAGGTACTTATTAAGGCCCCTATATTATTTTGCAGCTTCCTTTGTTGTCTCAACAATCTTCCTCACGCACAATGCTGGCGTGCCTAAAACTGCTACCTAATAGTTTCAGGTGCGATATCACTGATATTGTAATGTTGACCACCAGAAGCATGCATGTTTTCATCATCAGTATCATGTAGTGACAGTACACACTCCTGCCTGCCATCATTACCAGTCGAACTATCGTTAACTATCGTTATGTTTCCATCCATTGAGGTGCGAGTATTGCAAGCAAGTCCCTGCGTCACATGAGCTGGTGCACAAGTTTGGACTTGATTTTGGCAGACATCGTCAACCCACTTTCACAACTTGCTGAAGATCACAGGTGCATGAGAGCTGTACTTAGCGAGGAAGGTTTCGGGTCAGTTGTCATCAACACTCAATGCTAGCTCCGGAGGGCGGCGGCTACGCGAAGCGCGTGGCCCTAGCCGTTGCGGAGCAGCAGGGCACTCCTCCGGGTGGGACTTCCTGGCACGTCGTATTTTGTGTCACATGCCCATGCGATCGTGCGGTTTCCTCAGAAATGAGTGGGCCCGCTTGTGCATCCTGCATCCCTGCGTACCTGGCATTTGTTGATGCGTTCACGTTGCGCAGCTCTTTTTCTCACTATCAGGTCAGGACTTCCAGTCTAGTGGCCTAGTGCATGGCAGCCGTGCATGCGAGGCCGGGCGTCGTGCAGGCAAGCCCCATCGTGTTTGCTCCGCCGGCGCCCGTCCTCCAGCAGCGCATGCAATCTCCAGGAGCTCCACTGGTTCGAGGACACAGGGCTGCGAGGAGTAACTCGCTGGCTGCCGCTTGGGCAGAGACGGCTCAGCGAGCGCGGCTGGTGGCCAAAGCACAGGCAGACGTTTGCGTGGCGGTTGCCCGCGCGGCTACTGGCCCGAACCATCAGAGTGCGAGCCCCAGGCAAAACTACTCACCGCGGATACTTCAGCAGGAAGCGCCCGCACCGGTGGCCTACAAAATCAACAGGCAACAGTCGTTCTCTCCGCGCGTGGCACAGAGAGCTCTGCAAAGAGCAGCATCAGCTCCACCAGTCCAGGCCGAGAATTCCCCCGCCCAGGTGCAAGCAGCAGCATCTCCTTTCGTCGGATACCGAGCTGTGAAGATCGGTGCCGGCGCCGGCACCTCGAAACCCAGCCCCACACCCCGGGGTCCTGGTCAGGGTCGGCCGCCCGTTCCTGGGTGCGTGAGTCCCGGCAAGTCACCGGTGAGCCCTGGCAGTCCGGGCGGCCCTGGCATGAGCCCAGGCAGCCCAGGGAGCCCGGGCATGAGCCCAGGCATGAAGCGTGCCTCCTCTGCCGGTGCTCGCAACATCTTCGGCATGGAAAGGGCTCCTGCAGGGCGTCGGACGCCATCGCACACGCCCACGGCACGCCCGCTGCAGCAACATCGTGTGGCTTGACGGAACGACATGCCTGCTATGCGTCTCCGAGAGAGTATCACTCACTTATGCTCATCTATCTATACCATTAGAAAAATCTATCTATCCAGCTATCCATCAAACTATCTATCTGTGATCATGATCGAAGGCTGAGTCTCGCTAATTGGTTTGTGCCTACAGTTTTTCACAAGTACCAGGCTTTAGTTTTGCTGGGCTTAACTTGCAGTTGCATCCACGCCAATAAGGACGTGGCAATGGTGAAGGCCTCCTCGACGCCGCGATTGCCCTACCGCAACGTGCGGGAGCAGTCGCCAACGGGGCAGGCGGCTGCTGCGAGTAGCTGCCTGTCGACCTGACACTGGGATGCGGAGTGTGATAGTCACGCAATTGAAATTGAAAGGTCATTGCTACTTGAGCCGGTCTGAGTCTCGCGTGCGAACGGCACCAACATCTTCATGTGCATGGGCATGCCTATACACACAGACACGGATCCAACAGAGTCGCACACGCACAAAGAAATGCATCCACTCACCTGAGCACGTTCCTATTTCGCTCCTTCCTGCATGTCCTCCTGTCCTGATAGTCTGAAGCCCTATACCTATAGTCTCCATTGTAGTTCCTTTTTGGGGTTACCTTTTAGGATCCGTCATATAGAGTTGGTTAAACCATAAGAAGGAACTAAAATGGAGACTATAGGTAAACACGAAACCCTGAACCCTAAGCCCACAGTCAGGTCCAGCCCCAAAAAATGCCCACAACATGCAATCACTCTAATTTAGGGGCCTTAATAATTAGAATAGGGTTTTGGGCCCATTATACTATGGTTATAATAGGGAACCCCCAGAATAGGGTAGGTAGTTATTTAGGCCCTTACATTACATCCTGGACTCCAAACTCAGAGCCGCCACTGTACGCTGCCTTGTTCGATGCTTCTTATAATTTCTACTTATATGTAAATGTTTCATGTGTTTGTTTATTTATATCTATCTTTATATCACATATAGATATATTATATATATATGTATATGTATTCATATTTGTTGTTTGCATTGATTTGATTGGGCTGTGTGTAGTTTTTGTTGATTCCACCTAATCGCATGTCTTGGCGGCTTTACACGAAGTGACAAGTTTAGGTGCTGGCTGCTAGTACCCTAAACTCCTAAACCCCTAAACCCTAAACCCCTAAACCCTTAAACCCTTAAACCCTAAACCCTAAACCCCTAAACCCCTAAACCCTAGACCCTAGATCTGCGCAGGCAACCCCTCGATGGATGTGCTCCCCACGTGCCCGCCAGGAGGACGGGCTACAAGTTTAGGGTGCCACTCCTGCGGAACCCTGCATCCTAAGCCCTTCAACAAGCGTAGCTCCTAAACCCTACCCATAGGCCCCTAAGTAGTTCCTTTTTATGGTTTATATTTAGAATCCTATAAGGTAATCCCAAACAGGAACTACTTAGGGTCCTATGGGTAAACACTAAACCCTAAACCCTATAATAGGCGCTATAAGCGATAAACCCTAAAGCCGATAGGTCGTAAAGACTAAATCCTAAGCTGCAAGCCCGTCCTTATCGCTTCTAGCTGGTGCCATAGGAAACGACCTATAGAGCCCTATACCACGTTTGTGGCCGAATAGTTCGAAGTAGTGCTCCTCAGGGTTGCTTGCTTTGTTCTACTTTGGACATGCCCAAATGCCCTACTCCAAGGATTGAGGCCCCCTATGCTACAGCATCTCAGAGACCCTTTTCCAGGTCCACTCGCTTGAGCTCCTGAGCCTATAGGAACAGCAGTGAAGCTGGACCTGAACGCTGGAAGGTCCCAAGGTTCCAGGTTATTGGGGCTCTTGGATGGTTTAGAGGTCTGGTGTGGCTTTAGGGGCTTTGTGGGTGGTTTAGGCGCTTTAGGGTTGGTTAGCTTTCTGGGGTGAGGATTGCTGGTTCGAACCACTTTCTTCTGATTCCGGTGCCTGCTGATCGGGGAAACGCATGCCGTAGGCCCCAACCATGCAACGCCCTAGCCAAACCTCACCCGGAGCCGCAAACCTAGAAGAAGCCCCAAGGGCGTTTGTTGGCGCTCTACTGAAAAACCAAAATGCCCTGCGAGGAGTTCGAGCGTGAAAAGCGCAGCTCGTCGAGCTCATGAGTCGGGATACTGTCGGGATCTAGCTTTGAGAATCCACTCCTCCTCCTCCTCCGCGGCATCCCCATCATCCTCATCCCGCATCCTATCATCACCATAACCCCAACCCAAAGCCGGCACTCCAAATGCAGGTTTGCAGGGGTCTCATACTCAACTTCAGCATCCCAAGACCCTCATGACACCCTAAATAGCTCGTATCATCTTCCAGCGCACGGGGACCGTGTTTCCTCTGGTTTACTATTTTACATTTCATACTATGTGGTAAAAGATGATATAACATGTTATGTTTGATATATCATATATCATATACCAAACAGTGATATATTGTCTATATACTACATTTATAAGGCTGATTGCCAGGTAATGCCTGGGTTTTAGTAAATATTTATTTTGATTGGGAATCTGTCTTTTGATCTGTACCGGAATCTGAGCCTGGAGGTTTGATCAGAAATATCTGACCCGGAATCTGACTTCTAATCTGACTTTTAATCGGTCCCGAAGCCCTCCAGGCATAGAGGATGCCCTCATGAAGTTTGGGATGAAAGCTTCGGGTTTCAGTGGGTTTGGTGGTTAGAATTCGGGGTTTCGGGGTTTAGGGTTCAGGGTTTCTGGGTGGGACTTGAACTTCGACAGAGTCGTTCGCACGCACCACTCGCCCGACTGGGCGTTGCACGGGAGGGCCGTGGTTGAGGCCCAGGTCGGCCAGGGCCCGGGGCCGGGCGCCCGGATCTCACAACCGAGACTCAGTTTCCGCCCCGCCCGGAGGCCAGGGCTGGGTGCCCGCAGCCGGATCTCAGATTCGGAGTCAGATTTTTTGGGAGGGACGGGCCGGGACTCAGACTAAAAGTCAGATTTGGACTCAGATTCGGAGTCAGATTTCGGGGGGGACGGGCCGGGACTCAGATTAAAAGTCAGATTCGGACTCAGATTCGGACTCAGATTTTGGGGGGGACGGGCCGGGACTCAGATTAAAAGTCAGATTCGGACTCAGATTCCGAGTCAGATTTCCAGCAAAACTTTGGTTTTTTCAAGGAATCTGAGTCCGAATCTGAATCCGAATCTGACT